TGAGTCACAGCGGTGGCCCGAGGCGAAGAAGAAGAGGAGTTGCTGCGAGGACGAACGCGGGTGCTGTGGCGTGGAGTCGACTGAAAGATGAGTTTCGAGAAAAGAGATGGATCTGACGGCAAGGGTGAGTTTTTTTTTTTTTTTTTTTTTTTGAGGTCCGCAGTGGTGTAGTGGGTTAGGTTTAGTGGAGTAGGTGAGGTGGTAGTGGTGGTAGGTTTATTGATAAATTAGTGGAGTAGGTGAGGTGGTAGTGGTGGTAGGTTTATTGATAAATTTTAACATCCTCCGTCCTCACCATCCGCATCGTCCTCCGTCCTATGGAGTTGGGTTTGTTGATCATCGGGAGGCTTCTGTGCAAGCTCAGCACTCAGGTCCTGTTGAGCCCGATCATGCGCCTCCATTAACATAAACAAAACCAAAACCAAACAATGGTCTATCTGAGGAAGCTACTCAGCAGATTCTCACTCAGGTGGAGTATTATTTTAGTGCTCTAAATTTGGCCCCTACAGCTCATCTAATGAGGTTTATCAACAAAGATGCTGAAGGATATGTGCCAATATCTATTGCATCTTTTAAGAAGCTTATAGCTGTAAATCATCCACTAGCCCACTTTTGTCCCCTCCTCTACTTATATATTCTTTTATTATACATATATTTTATTATTTTCTTTTTCACCGTAGGCACTCCTAATTCCACCAATACTATATATATTTTATCCCCACACCAAAAACAAAAAAACAAAAAAAAACAAAAACAAAAACAAAAACAAAAAAAAAAACACAAACCTTCTCACCACTTGATTTTTTCTGCATGTCCTTCCTACTATTCGGGTTTGCACAACACATTTGTTTTATTCATATCGGGGCTCAACCCCGATCAGCATTTTACACCACCAAAAAAAAAAAAAAAAAAAAAAAAAAAAAAAACAACAACAACAAAACAAAACAAAACCAAACACACATCCACAGGCAGGATTTTTCTTCTCTACTCTGCCGCCGGTCTCTTCTTCTTGCCTCCGTCCTGGACGGCCCTTGCCGGTGTTGCCTCCGTGTTTCCCACTCCACTGGGCATGATCACTACTCCCTGCTCCTCCACTGCAGCATATGGCGGCCCTCCAAATCGGAACATCACGGTGGCCTTCCGCTTCAGCTCCTTATTTTCCGCCTTTAGCACACTTAACTCTGCTCGCGCATCCTTATACATGCGTTGGAGCAGAGCCAGTTGGGCGTTTAACTGCTGCACCTCATTTGTCCTACTCTGCAGACGGTGCGACAAGTTTGTAACCGCAGTCATGGTTTCCACACATGACTTCAATGTATACTGATTGGCCTCTACATCCGACTGCACTGCCATTCTTTGCTCCACAGACCGCATAGGAAAGTTCAACGAAACAAACTCCGGGGCGCTTGGTTGAGTTTCCAGTGCCACCGCACCAGTTATTTCTCTTGTGGACTCGTTCAGGTCTGGAAAGAGCGTGAGCAGACCACGGGAAGAGGATGCCATGTTCTGGGTAGCTGGACGGGAAGAAGAGGCCATGTTTTTTGGGTTGCTGAGTGTTTCAGCGAAGCAGCGATTTCCGACTGGTACTTTCAGAGAAGGACTGGGCAACAGAGTGTTACAGCGTATCTCTCTCAGAAAAGGAAGAGTTTTTTTCAGAGGATTTTAGCAGGTTTTTTTGTCTCAGCCTCTGCCTCAGCCTAGGTTAAATAGCCAAGGCAGTCACGCGCATCGCGCGCCACTTGACGCCAGACGACAAAACGGACGCGCAAGCCAAGGTAGTCACGCGCCTCGCCATCATGTCCGGCACACCTTTTTATGACTTGGGCTCGCCTTTTGATGGCACGCCTTTTGAAAGATTGGGCACACATTTTGAGGGTGCGACTTTTTAAGGGTCCGACAAGACTCTGTAAACTGTCACAACAACTGTCACAACATTGTCAGCTACAACGGTCCGACATGACCCCATAAACTGTCTTCTACAAACGGTCCGACATGACCCCATAAAATGTCTTCTACAACGGTCCGACATGACCCATAAACTGTCTTCTACAAACGGTCCGACATGACCCCATAAAATGTCTTCTACAACGGTCCGACATGACCCATAAACTGTCTTCTACAAACGGTCCGACATGACCCCATAAAATGTCTTCTCTGTCTGACACGACCATACAGTGTCTCCTATCCTCTTTTATTTTTATGTATTTTCTTGTTTTGTTACTCTCTCCAAACTCAAGTTGGTTAGTTCCTATCCCCCTTGAGTTTGCGGGGGGCTGTTAAAATTCACCTACTACACACCTACCACTACCACCTACTACACACTCACCTACTTCACCTACTCTCCACCTACTCCTCACCTACTACACACTCACCTATTCTCTTCCCACATCCTCTCTTCTATATATAGGAATCATTGTAATATATCAAAATATCAATCAATAATACATCTATTTTAACAAAACTCTTCTCTCTTTGTGTTTGTTCCTGATATTCTTTTTGTGATATTCTTGGTTCTACCTGTTTTTCTACATCAGCTTATCTTTTTCTGCTTTGATGCCAACTGATGTAGAGAAGCGTGTATTGAATGAACACAAGCAATAAGAACAACTACGAATAACTTGATACAGAGAAAAGACTATGTAATATATTAAAATTCATTAAAAATTGCTTTGTCGTAAGGCTTACATAGGTATTTGTTCTAAACTAGTTCTTGTAGAGCAAGTTAGGAAACTACCAAATAGACCAATTCTTGTTAATCAAGAATGCCTAATTGGGAAAAGATTAAACCTTGCTAACCAGGAAAAGATTAAATCTTGCTAACCAAGAAAAATAAATAAGAAAATGATTATTATTGTAATCAAGGAAAATTTAATGACTTGCTAGTCATGAAAATTTGATTTCCTTGATTTTTATCTATTCGATTGTGCTAAACAATCGTCAGCCACTTGCTCTGCATCACCATCTAAGTGTGGATTGTATTAAGCCACCAATTTTGAAAAACTAGCTAAAGAAGAAAAAATTGGAATTCAACTGAGTGAAAATACTACCTTGCTTGATGAAGAAGTTTTCAAATATTAGCCTGCAATTTATTGATTGAGTGTTTCAAGAGTTGATGTTAATGTGTTGTGTGACGAGCACAATTTTATTGGAGAGCCAAGCTTAGAATTGGCATTGATAGGTCATCCTTCATTCAAGAATTTATTTGAGATTCAAGTGTGTGAACCCATGTTGCTTATGTTCTACAAAGGAAGCAAAGACTCAATTATAGGTAGTTTTGAACAAAATTGAAATTCTTTTAGAGGAGTATTTGGTGCTTTGATTAGCAAGGCAAAAGCATTTTTAGGTGTGGCAAAAGTTCTATAAGTGATACTCTATCTGCCCCATTTTGGGAATGCTAAGATTGACAAGCAAAATGGGACGGGGGGAGTATCATGTGATTATTTGATTTAAGCTTGGAGTCAACTTTGGAATTGTTTCAACCAAGTTCCAATGTGAACAGCATATTCTATGATCCGTTTGATCAAGAATTTCGTTGAGGCTTTACAAACTTGACTTTGATTCGGAAGGTATTATACTTATATCAAGACGGGTCAAAGGTATTAAAGGGCATTGTTCCTTTAATTTTTGGAGAAACTAATCTTAAATACAGAGTACATGCAGACAAGTGCAATCATATCAAATTATTTTGAATAATGATACTCGAGGATGAGTTTTTCCAAGGGAAAATGAGTGAGAGCACTAATTAGTGCTACCACTAATGATGTGGCAGTGGCTGCCACCCACTGCCACAGTATTGTTGTGTCTGTTTTTTTTTTTTTCCTAAAAAAAGTGGATGCCACATCATTAGTGGTTGCTTTAGAGCACCACTTTTAGTGGTCTCTATCATTGCCCTTTTCCAAGTTAGGGAGGATGATGTAGAACAAGTAGCTGAAGATTTCTTAGCATAATTGAATAAATAGAAGTCAAGAAAATTGAATTTTATTGATTAGCAAGTCATTAGAATTTTCTTGATTAATAAGAATTAATCTTTTTTCTTATTTGTTTTCATTGGTTAGCAAGAATTAATCTTTTCTCAATTAAAAATTCTTGATTGACAAGAATTAACCTATTTGGTAATTTCTTAGATTGCTCTTCAAGAACTAGTTTTAGTATAAATACCTATGCAAGTCGTGGGGCAAAGTAGCTTTTGGTGAATTATTAATAAATTACAGGATGTTTTCTCTATATCAAGTTATTCATGGTTGTTCTTATTGCTTAATGCTCATTTTATACACGCTTCCTTGCATCATCTATCTTCATAGAACCCAAATTGAAAGACCTATAAAAAATGTCCATTTAATTACTAAGACGAAAGTAAAAATCTAATACATATAAGTTCTATAAATATTTTCTTTTATCTTGATAGTTTTTCTTTTATTTTCTTAGGATTCATATGTTTGAGTGGTATTGTCTCAATTGGAACATCAATTCTATGTCTATGGGAGCATGGTTCTAACGAAGTTTCTTACTTTGGACCATGGAATCGTGTTTCTGGAGTAGAAAGTCACACTCAGTAGAAGATTCCTGCAACAAAGTGCTTTTGCAAACTATCAGTATCCTAGTGGTTGGTGTCATGAGGGATGCTATTTATTGGTCATATAAATGATTCTTGTTAATGTCTACAAAGTAGTTCAGAAAGTTCCTGGTTAGGAAGCTCTTCTTTTCAAGGCAATCATATGATGCATATAATGCTGTTTGATAGTTCATAGTTACTTCTGGCTCATTTTAGACGTCTCGAATTTGATCTTAGGCATTATTCACTTTCTATTCAATTGTTGTGTTACTTTATTAGTCTGTTGTTCATATTAATTTCATTATAGTCAACTTCTTATTTTTTATTTTTCAAATGTTTTACTATTTATATTCCAGATTCTGTGTATTAGAAATTACCTGGGGTGCTGAACTTTAATTTTGATAATATTAATTCTTTTTCTCTTTCCCCCTCTTTCTCCTCCACGTAGGCCCGGGGAGAGTGCTTTGGGAGGATTACCATTGAAGCCATGGCATTTCAGCTACCTGTACTGGTAATTTTTGAAGTTTCCTTCTTTGCTCCAATTGCTTTGATGTAAAATATTTTGATGAAAGTATCTGTTACTTGTTTTGGTGTTTGGTTGGTTGCATATTTTATTGCGTATAAGAAACCAGAACCAAACTGGACTACTTGATTAACACACCAGAGTTGACTAGTCACCCATTGAATTTTCTGTCCATCATCCTATAAACTGAATGAATATTCATCTTCATCAAGCGAACACCTCTTTCGTTTCATGAAAAAAGTTTTAGATGTAAAATACTTTACTTTGAAACAAACACAGCGGTTTAACTTTTGTTGTTTTTTGTAAGGTTATTGATAGGATTCTTATGATATTTGTGGGAATAGGTAGGCTTCTGCCTATTTTGTTGATTTTGCAACGTTGTCCTTTTCTCATCACTGTTAAATTTTCATTGATATATATATTTTTTGGCTTGATACATATATCAGGGAACATCTGCGGGAGGCACCACAGAGATCGTAGTGAATGAATCCACAGGTTTGCTGCATCCTGTTGGGAAAGAAGGCGTCACTCCTCTTGCAAAAAATATCGTCAAACTCGCCACTCATGTTGAGAGAAGGCTTACAATGGGAAAGAGAGGCTACGAGAGGGTGAAAGAAATGTTTTTAGAACGCCAAATGGCACATAGAATTGCTGCAGTTCTGAAGGAAGTTCTGCGAAAGGCAAATAACCACAAACAATCTTAGAACACCTTAGAGCCTGTTACTGTCGAGCAGAGAAATCTCCCTCGCTAACTGGCGGGAAAACTATATGTAGTTGTTTCTTGTTTATAGAAGCTGCTTCTAATATCATCAACGGGCTTACCTTTAGGCCATGTTTGATTCACAATACTAATAGTGAGGTATTAATAATCCTATCAAATTAGGCCATGTTTGTTTGGGTGGACATGAGCTTGGGATTGGACTAATAGTCCAATAAAATTATTAATCCGATGTTTGGTTAAACAATTGAAGTACAGATTAATTATTTTAAACTTGACTATTAGTTAAGATATGATACATAATCCAACAGATTCGTAGTCCTAAGACTATTAGTCATGGGAATACTAATCCAGTCCGCCCAAACAAACATGGCCTTAGTGTGGTATTAACTATCCCACCCCTACCCCATTACTAATAATCCTACAAATTTGTTGGATTAATTATCCATTAGATTAATAGTCCTAAACCAAAATGTCAAAACAAACATAGGATGATTGGGCCCACGGATTAATAATCCTAATCCCATGCTTTAATCCTTCCAATCAAACATGCCATTAGTGTGTTGTTTTACACAGGCAAAGGGTAGGGAATAGATATTTAATTTATTTGTAGCAGTATTGTGGAGTTCATTTGAGTCATGAATTGAGTAGCCTAGATCAGCATGAGTTACAATACTTTGCTTGGTTCTATTTTTCGAAAAACACTTTTCAAAAAATTCTACTTTCTTGTTTTCGTATTTTTTTTTTTTACTGAATTTTTTTAATATTTTAAGTAATTTTTATTTTTATTTTTTAGACATACTTACCATAAATATACTTAAAAAGTAAAAAGTTTGTGAAAAAAATCTTTTAAAAATTCACTAACTACCAAAAATATATAATAAAAAAAAACGAGAATTCAGTATATTTTTTATATTTTTATGTATTTATTAATTTTTTAAAAATATTTTTTCACATTTTTTTTATAAGAAAGTAGAATTTTCTGAAAAGTGTTTTTTGAAAAGTGGAAACAAGCAATGTGATACTTTTTTAATTTTTTTATTTTATTTTGTTCTTTAAAATTATTTTTTATTTTATATTTTTTTCGAAAAAAAAAAAAAAAAAAAAAAAAATTTTTTTATTTTTATTTTTTTTTATAATTTTTTGTTTTTTTTTGTTTGCTTATATAGTTGAGAGTGTTAGGATCTGCAATAATTGGAAGATTTTAAACAATAAACCAAATGGATTGCTTTGTTAAGGGGTGAAGGTTGATAAACAGAGCTGATAAACGGATCAAGTTACTTGAGTTCGATTTGTTAAAAGTTTATTCCTTCAAGATTTGCTTGTTAGGAAAATAATTCAAGTTTAAACACATTTTATAGCTGATTACAATTTATTATTTGGCTCGATAAGTTTATATGCATTATTAAAAAAAATTAAGTTACTCGAGCTCAACTCATGGTTTATTAAAAATTTATTCGAGATTGACTCATTATGTAAACAAGTTAAGTTTGAATACATTTTATAACTTGTTAAGTTTTTAAATAAAGTTTAAACAATTTAATACTCGGCTCGACTTAACTTGTTTACAACCCTATTGAAAAATCCGCAACAGTTTGTAGGTGGTACAGATTACAAACCCTCAGCAGTACTGAATTTTAAGATCGTAGTATTATTTTTTTCTTCCTTGGAAAATTCCTTCATAGGATGAGGCTTACCCTCTTTAAAATCCATCACAAACTGCTCAAGAAAACCAAAATTTGCTTCTACAAAGAGTATGTTTAAAGCTCTAGATAGTTTCTTTCCAATGTACCCAAAAAAAAAGAAGCAGCTCTAGATAGAGAACACTGCTGTATACTTGGTATTGAGTATAATTCGCAAGATTATTTTCTTTGTAAAGTAAAATTGTTGGTATTGGTCAAAAGCCAAAATTGACATGAAGATAGGTTTTCTACAGAACTCATTCCATACAGTCGATGGTTTCTGTTAAGATTGTTTGGCACACCATCATGAAGAGAGAAAGCCCAAGATCTAAAGGGCCTAGATAATGAATCAGATATAAATTCTTCTGTGAATTTTAACGAACCTGTTTGAGCATCAAGTTCTCATAACATTTTCAGAAGTATTCACCACTTTTTTTTGGACACCAATTAGAAAGGATTTCAATGAGAAAAACCAGGGCCAGAAGGCCTACAATCAAATGAAGTTTCCCTTGGCTGCAAACTCAAGACTTTCCAATTTCTTTGGAACCTTAACACCTTTAGTTCAAATTCTATCCAAACGTTAAAATTTAGAAGAGAGAAAATATACAGCAATATCCAGTGAAAGAATCAGGTAGGAATCAGATTAACTTCACAGCCAGCAGTAACCATGAAGTTCATGGAAGCTTTGGTTGAGAAGAAAAATTTCCCGGCCTTGGGTGCTTGATATTGGGTTTTGTGAACCAAGTTGTATACAGAAATTGCTTGTTGGGCCCTACATGGTTGCAAATTTGCCTAATCTTCTGCCTCTCTCTCATCCATCTCAATACTATTTTCATCTGCCTTTTGCTCGACAGTCCACCAACTTCCTGGATAATGTGTAATACAGTAGTCAGTTAAATGCCTCATACAGATTCATAGAAGAATTTTTTTTAAAAGAGCCAACTCAAAACCAAGAAACTGAAAAAATATGAAATGCTTTATTCACAAAATGAAATGCAAACACCATCATGCTATGCTTCCCAACGGCCAGTCCTACTCTGTCCTTCAAGTTCCATTCTCACCAGCAACTAACTATCAGTAGAAGATCAAATGACAGTTTTGAGTGTGAAAAAAGGTTCAATTTGTTTAAAACAAAATAAAAGATAGAAGAGGAGGGCCGTGTTGCTGTTAGGTGACACAACTGTGCTGATATTGAAATGGTACGGTATCGATGTATAGGGATAATAAGAGATGATGGAGATGTGCATTGCCAAAATATAAACGACTTCATCACCCAACAAAAAAATTAGTAACATGAACCGAAGTTGTTATTCAAACAATAATGTGGGTATTAAACCAACAATGCAAATCTACTTCCTTAAAACTAAAAGTATCTAAGAAAATTTAGGACTTGAGCCTGTTGATGTAGTCAGATTAGCTTGCATACTATGAATTGAAATGAAATAATGAATACAGCGAAGTATTTGAACTTTATAATTATCTATCCTTGCCTTCCCTTGCTACAATCAAGCAATTAGCAGTCAAAAACTGCTAAAGATAAAGTACCTATTTGGCTATCTGCTCACACAAGAGATCCCCAAGCATGGAATAATCTTCATTTTCAAGCAGTTGAGAGTAAAAATTACAACTGATTATAACAAGTGAGAGTACAGTAACTTGACTCTAATGATCCAAATCCATATGAACCCAAAATTTACAAATTACTTGGAAGAGGGCTTTTGCATTTGCCTTCAAGACTACTTTCCTTCACCCAGAGCATGGCAGATGCAGAATCCTCATTACGGGTAAAAGCAAATGTGTTGAGCGGACTTATGAATCATGACAAATGTTGGATATTCCCATGTCCAGACATGTGTTAAACTAACACATTTAACTTTTAGGTGTTTCCTAAAAAATGGATTGTGTTTGGAAGAATTTTCCTAAAACATTTTTTGAATTTAATTATAAACTCAAAAAAATTGCCTATAAGCTTTTTAACATTGTTGACTTGAGACTCTTTCTTCCATTGAAATATTTGAGGATAGATAATATTACAAATTCCAAAATCCATCATTGAGGTCACAAACTTGAGTAACCTGAGGAGGATAGCAAAAGGCAATGAAAAGGGAAGAAAATTAGGAAAGCTTTCCCAACAGTTATTTTTATGAAAGTATATCCAAAAAATTGAGTTACCCTCCGAAATGAAAAGAAATACTTCGACTCTCTTCTATAGTTCTTTTCCCTTTCTTTTTCCTCTATATTTTTCAAAGATTTAAACTGGAAAAAGAAGCACACCCGAGTTCTTGAAATTTGAATATCAAAATGTTATCTTTCTAAAAGTATCTATAGCTAAGAAGTAAAAAAATCTGGTAGCAGAATTAGTGGTGGCTACCTGCAAGCGTTCCCACGTGTCTGCGATAGTGAGAGGACCATGATCCTTCACGATATCAAAAATAGCTCTAGTGATGGTTTGTGTTTGCTCTGGTGGCGTTTTGAGTTCTATTGGTTTCATCTTTGGCTTTGGTTTCCTTCCAATATACCTAATCGCAGTTGCAAACATGATGGCCTTCTAATATGGTAAAACAACTCCTTGCACTCACAGTGTGAACCTGGTTTCAACAATTTGCAATTTCATACCAAAAATTATAGGTCAGCTTCCAAAAAGAGAATAATAACATGCTCAAAAACTTTCGCATAACTATTATGTTTTGAAACCTCACAACAAAACAAGATGAAAAGAAGTCATTTAATTGGATATTGTTAATTTGGGCATATACAAAATCAACCTTCATATACAAAATCATGAATCATCATCAAAACAGCTACAATCAGACTGTTAATTGGGGCATACCCTATTTCAGGAAAAACAGGACAAACATTTTCTCAACTCTAATTCTCTCTCTCTCTCTCTCATGTGCACAAGAACCCAATAAAAACACCGACAATTGTGAGATCTTAATGAAGCATTTCAGTGAACAGGTTTCGTGCATTTGTGAATCATCTATCTAGAGAGAGAGAGAAAGTACCTTGAAGCTGAGAATCCGGGCTCCTGAAGAGAAGAAAGCCGTAATTTTGCAATTTGAACCCATTTTTGTGCTTCTTCTTTTCTTTTCTTTTCTTTATTCTTTTTTCCTTTTTTTAATTATTTTATTTTATTTTTTATTGAGGGATGCTATTAGCACCCCATAAATTATTTTAAAATTTGAATTTTTAGATTTTTTTATTATAATAATAATTTTAAATAAAATTATTATAAAAGTCATCATTAATTTTGAGATACCCCATCTCACAAACCTACACACCTACTACATCATGAATTAGGATTTATAAGAGTACTCACCTTCATCGCCACCGATCCATTTTCTCTAAATTCCACCTTCAAAACCTATCCACCCTTAAAACCTTGAAAACCCTTTGACGGCAATATTCCCACGGCAACGGTGGCAACCATTTAATTACCTACATTGAACGGTCAAAACATGAAAATTTATTAACACATTAAACGGTCAAAATTGTTAATGTTTGCAGAAATTTTTATTTTTTCAAGTTCAGGAATACAGGCCTAAACATTACTTATTTGTTCGGGAAGATGTTTCTGAACAAATAAGTAATGTTCGGGAATGCAGGTCTGAACATGAAAATTTCTTAACACATTGAACGGTCAAAATTGTTAACGCTTATAGAAGTTTTCATTTTTTCAAATTCGAGAATACATGCTCGAATATTACTTATTTGTTCGTGAGCACATTCCCAAACATAGATTATTCATTCGGGAATGCAGGTTTGAACATGAAAATTTGTTAAGACTTTCAACGGTTAAAATTCTTAACACTTGCAGAAATTTTATTGTTTCAAGTTCGGTAGTTTCAGTTTTGAAGAAGCAATGTGAGAGTGAGAGTGTGAGAGAGAGAGAGAGAGAGCATACTAACTGTGACAATGGTTAAACCGGCAAGACAATAATCTTCTTCTTCTTCTTCGTGGGTTTTGAAAATGATGAGACTCTCCTTATTTTTAGTAAGTTTTGCTAGGGTTTTTTGAAAGGGAGGTTTTTTAGGAGATGTGAGGGTATTAAAGGGGGTGTGCATTCAATAGGTGAATGTTTAAGGATAATTTTGAGAAATTCTATTTGCACACATCAAGTTTCCTTGGGAAATTCTATTTCCACACACTTTATTAACTCAGTACACATCTTCTCTCTAAATTTTTTTATTACATTTCTATCCTTCAATCAAATTACCAACACACCCCTCCCTTTCTTCCTCCCTCCTAACTCAACCCTAACCTTTGCCATTGCCGACCACCGGTAGTCACCTCCTTCCCTTCCTATCATCACCACCTTCATAGATATATGTATATTCTGCAAAATCTTCATATCATTTTAATTGTCAATGTCAAAATTTTAAACAGGCACATGGTATAGCCATTAAACTTCCACAAAATATTCAAGGAAAAATTAAAAAATTATTAATTTGCTACAGAGGCTTCAATTAACTTCAATTTTCTTAATTAAAACTGTAAAGCTGTCACTTTTAAACAATCATCCTAAAAATTGTGCAAAACAATCATAAAATTTATGGTAAAGAAGAGAGTGAGGCTCAGATCTGCTATGATATCAGGTTGATAATGGAGTTAAACTTCACCATGGCTGCAACAAGGGTTGCCTAGCGAGAGAGAGAAAACTAGATCTAGTCTCTCTTCCCCTTATTCTCTCTCTTAAAGGCCTTTCGAGTTGCCTGCCATGAAACGGATCCAAATCTCAAGGCCTGATTTGAAAACCCAGAAAAAGCTATCATCACAGCCTCTTACAAAGAAGATAGTATAGTTGGTTGTTATGGGGTTGATAATGATGATGATGATGATGATGATGATGATGATGATGATAAAGATACAGCAGAAGGGTTGAATCACTCTAAAGGATCTAGATTCGATGAACCGAACCGAACCGAACCGAACCCAACCCAACTCAAAACCACACAGAGCTATGCATAGATATATATATATATATATAGACACATAGTACAGAGTACTGAGTACATACAAACTCACACACCCAAACGGTTGTTGAAATTTAGATATGAAGATAAAATCCTAGGTTTCTTTTTCTGTTTAGTATAGATTATAGAGAGGGGCACCCACCTTTAGAAATTTCCCATCTCTTTGCTTGAAGAAACCTCATTTCATCATCTAGGTTTCAATCTCCTAGAGGAGGAAGCAGTGGCGAGAGGAAGAGAAGGCTAGGGAAGGGCAGCGACAACCGTGGGAAGTTGAGAGAGGCTGAGAAAGGATCGACGCCAGTAGGAGGTGGTGGTTGCCGGCAATGGTTAGTGTTAAAATTTGTTGGAGAAGACGAGGGTACTTTATTATTATCTGAAAATTATTAATGTGTATTGAGATAAAATTAAAAGTTTTAATTTGTGTATGGTGTAAACTGAGTAAATGGTGTATACTAAGATAAGCAAGGATGTGTAAATAGAATTACTCAGTTTCCTTACTCCACACGCTTAATGAAATTTTTCAGAGTTACAATTTTATCCTTTAACGAAATTACTATCTCACCCACTACCATCTCACTACATATCTCACAATTTCTCTATACACATCTCACCCACCACCATCTCACCAACCATTTCACCGCTGGCCACCACTATAACAAGTTGAGAATTTGAGAATGGGACACAAAATGCCCTAGATCCACAACTACGCTACAATATCAATTGATTGAGAAAATTCCAGATCTTGATGGCAAATTGAAATTTGTACCTCATGGTTCCAAATATACATATACATATATATATATATATATATATATGTAGAGAGAAAATGAAAATGAGGAAATTTTAGATCAATTACAAAATTGAGCCTGTAACTCTTAAATTAAATATACAAATTTTCAATGTTGATTACAATATGGATGCATATATATATATATATAGAGAGAGAGAGAGAGAGAGAGAGAGGTACCGAAAAAAAATGAGAGATTTGGAAAATGAGAGTGGTCATTTTCTTTGTCAATTGTTAGGGGGTTGTTTGAGGTGTCCTAAATAAGTGTACTTTTTGACTTTTTGGACTAAAAAGTTTAGGAAAAAAATATGATTATTTGGGTTAACTTTTTGACTTTTTACGAAAAAATGTGTATTAAAAAATTGTATAAATTAGTGTGTAGGAGAAGATAAGGATTGTGAGTTGTACAACCATATTGATGCTAAGAAATGTTTGCCTACTTTTTGGGCATTGCATTAGACGGTGCTGCTAGGCCCGTGGGGGCCATCACGGGTCTCGTTTTGATAACCTGAACCGTTCAATGTGTGGAACTCGTCGAGTACTATTCGTCTATAAAAAATAACGTTGATCGGATATCGATAGCTATCTGATCGGATTAGTTTTTTTTTTCAACCGTTAACTACAATACCATCTATTTTTTTTAATACAAAACTGATTTGATCATGTAGTTAGCGATATCCGATCAATGTGATTTTTTATGGACTTATAGTACTCGACGAATTCTACATATTGAACGGTTCAGATTATCAAAACGGGACCCGTGATAGGCCCCTACGGACCGAACAACACTGTCCTGTGTAAATTTGTTGTGCACCCGTGTGTAATTTGTACCGGGACAGACATCACTATGTTATACATTCACGACTTGTACTTTGCATCAATGTAAATTTATTTTTTTTTATATTTTTAATTTGTGAATAGTAATAACTTTTTAATTTTTTTAGTAACTTTTTAACTTTTTGAGACATGCCAAACCAGCCCTTAGTAGTAAATATAAAACCTTTGGAACTTCAGCGTGAGGGGCTATGTGAGAATGGCTGCGAGATTGGGAAGGGGCGGTGGTTGATGTTGTTGCTGCTGCTGTCGCCGGTAGTTGCTGTAGTTAGGATTAAGATTTTTGGAGTGAGAAAGAATGGAAAGAGAGGATGTGCAGAGAGAAAGTAAGGGTATATTTGGAATGTGAAGTGTATGGATTGAGATAAAGAAGTAAAAATCAAATTACTAAAATGTGTGAATTGAGAAAATATGGACATAGATAATTTGGGGTATGAAAATAGAATTTCTTGATAATTTTGGTATTATTTGAGAAAGAAGAAATTTTAAGAGTTTTAAAATTTATAAATGGACTCTAAAGAAATAGGGAGTCGAAAATAATTTATGGGGGTGCCACCACTCTTTTTATATTCCAGTTATATCCTCAAGATGTTCCAAAATTACGAAAGAACCATTGAGGAACATCTTCTGCTTCATTGCACATTCTCTCTATCTCTGTGTCTCTACACACACACAAACAGAGGCTTCATGTCCCTAATTTGTATGCTTCTTCGTCGCTGGTGTGAGTCCTCCATTAGAGCACCAAGTAAGGGAGTTCAATCTGTGTGATGGTTGCTGTGTCTCGGAGGTTCTGCACACTCATAAAAAGGCCTTCAATTCTAATTCCAAAAAACTTGTTTCAACGAGTTGAACCAAATCCAGATCAATCCTTCATTCCCTTCTCTCAACTGCAACAAACGAAGCTCCTTGAAGCTCGTCTCGTCTCTCTTCTTCACCACTGCAATGACCTCAACCAAATCAAACAACTTCACGGCCACATTGTTCGCAAAGGCCTCGACCAGTGCTGCTTTGTTCTCACCAAGCTCATTCGCATGCTCACCAAGGTTGGTTCTCCAATGGAGCCATACCCACGACTCGTCTTCCAACAGGTCAAACTACCCAACCCATTTCTCTGGACAGCGCTAATCAGAGGTTACTCTCTTCAAGGTCTCTCCTCTGAGTCGATACTTCTCTACAATTGTATGAGAAGAGATGGGATTGCTCCTGTGTCATTTACCTTTTCGGCCTTGCTCAAGGCTTGTACTGCTGCTCTTGATGTTGATTTGGGCAGGCAAATTCATGCACAGACTATTATAATTGGTGGGTTTGCATTAGATTTGTATGTTGGTAATACCATAATTGATATGTATGTGAAGTGTGGGTTTTTGGATTGTGGGCGTCAAGTGTTTGATGAAATGCCTGAGAGGGATGTGATCTCTTGGACTTCGTTGATTGTTGCGTATGCGAAGAGCAGTGATATGAAGTCTGCGGCTGGGTTGTTTGATGGGTTGCCTGTGAAGGACATGGTGGCGTGGACGGCAATGGTCACTGGTTTTGCACAAAATGCTCGGCCGAGGGAGGCATTGGAGTATTTTGATAAAATGCAGGACGCGGGCATTGAAACCGATGAAGTCACATTGGTTGGTGTCATATCAGCTTGTGCACAACTCGGTGTGATTAAGTATGCCAGTTGGGTTCAGGACGTTGCTGAGAAATCTGGATTTGGACCTACCAATAATGTGGTCATAGGATCTGCATTGATAGATATGTTCTCCAAGTGCGGGAGTGTGGAGGATGCGTATAAGGTGTTCGATAGAATGACGGCGAGGAATGTATTCTCTTATAGTTCAATGATTGTTGGGTTTGCAATGCATGGTTGTGCCAATGCAGCAATCCAATTGTTTCACGAAATGGTGAAGACTGAGACAAAACCAAATAAGGTTACATTTGTAGGGGTGCTTACAGCATGCAGTCATGCGGGTATGGTAGACCATGGTAGGCATTTGTTCGCTACGATGGAAAAAACTTATGGCGTCACACCGTCTGCCGATCTCTATGCTTGTATGGTTGACCTCCTTGGCCGAGCTGGATGCTTGGAAGAAGCTCTCGAGCTTGTCAGAACTATGCCAATGGATCCCCATGGGGGTGTGTGGGGAGCATTGCTTGGAGCTTGTCGCATCCATGCGAACCCTGACATTGCTGAGATTGCTGCTAGCCATCTATTTGAGCTTGAACCTAATGGTATTGGAAACTACATCTTGCTTTCTAATATATATGCTCTTAGCCCAAGGCACACGTAAGCCTAATACACTACAAGTGTATTAATCATGCATGGAGTGACCAAGACAAGTAAAAACAGTGGTATGTTTTCAAGGGTAAGGAAGTTGATGAGAACTAAGGGTTTGAAAAAGAATCCTGGATGTAGTTGGGTTGAAGGAAAGAAAGGAGTAGTTCATGAGTTCTTTGCAGGTGATATGACCCATCCGAAATCTAGGGAGATTAAGCAGGCATTGTTGGATCTAGTAAATAGATTAAAATTTCACGGGTACCAGCCAAAACTGAGTTGTGTTCCTTATGATGTGAGTGACGAAGAAAAGAAGCGGATACTAATGACTCATAGTGAGAAGCTAGCTTTGGGATTTGGGCTGCTTTCCACAAGTGCTGGTTGCACCATTAGGATTGTGAAGAATCTCAGAATTTGTGAGGATTGCCACTTGGTTATGTGCAGTGCATCTCAGATCACTGGCAGAGAGATTGTAGTTAGAGATAACATGAGGTTTCACCATTTTAATAATGGAATGTGTTCTTGTGGTAATTTTTGGTGATTCAAGCATGGGTCTCAATGTTGTCCAAATTTTTATGCCGACTTAAATCAGTCCTGTTTGATCGTGCTCAGTCACAAGTTATAATAGCCATTTTGAGAGATAAAATAGCCTTTTTGAGATATGACTGGGAAGATAGAGAATGACAAAAGACATTACAAGATTATCTCTGCAATTGCTTTCTTTGGAGATGTGACCTCTAGAACCCAATGCATCTGTGCCATTATAAGGTAATCAAGCTTTACAATTCTATTTTTTCTGAATTCACTTTCTGTGGCATGTAAATGAATATTTGATGCTGGTTGTGATTACAGTTTTTTGTTGGGTCATTTGGATCACTATTATTTATTACAGTTTGGCATGCACCACATATAATTGGAGTAAGTAATTGGGTAAATGGCTAAAAAAATTGCCAAGAATGTTGTAGAGAAGCCTAACCCAATGTCTTGCTAAACTTTTGCATGCTTTACGTTCAATTGTACGGTTGTACCACAAAACTTTGATAGGGTTATTTGGATTTGGTATATAACCTGTACAAATGGAATAAAGAAAGGGTAAAAAGTAAAAATTTACCAAAAAAATTCCAATGATACTTAACCAGATGTTTTGCTCGAAGTATGTAAACAATCATTTCAAAATTTAATGTGATGATCCTTTTGCATCTTGAATGCTGCTTACTGAGATTTCTTTCATTAGTGCCAGTGGTGAGGCGCACAACTGGCGATGAAAAGAAGCAGTCCGTCCATAGCCTTATAGTTTAAGACTCATTCCTTATAGATTACTTTATATCTGCACTTATTAGCTTCAATGGCGCGTGCGATGAAGTACTTTTAGTTTTAATGACACATTCTTGTACGTGAGTATTCATTTCCTCCAGACTCTGATGGGTCAATCCTACTAAACTCCACACCAGAAAACAAGGCAGAGAAAAATACTCCCCTTAACAATCCTAGTGTGGAAGGCTTCAAGCTGATTAATAAAATCAAAGAGGTATTGGATGTCCTTGAGTTTTTGTCTTGTGCTGACATTCTCAATTTTGCTGCCAGAGAGTATGTTCGTACGGTAAAGTCACATCATATGAATTACTCGGAAAACTATTAAGAAACTTATTTTTTTTCCAAGTTTGAGCGCTATCAAGTTTATGGTTGAAGGAAAGATAGAAGGAGCTCTTGAGAATCATTTAATATTGTTCAATCACCTGTATGAAGATTTTCCAGAAAAGGCCTATCACTTGTAGTTGTGGACTTGGTTACTCTCTCAGGTTGATCTATCCCGATCCATCATGCAGATTAGATTGACATAACCATTTTCTTAGTTTCCTTTCGACACTGACAGGTTTCATTGTTCCTCGTCAGGACATTCTGTAGGAGTTTCGCACTGTTCGTCGCTACTTGGGAGGCATGTAAATTTTAGCAAAACTTGGATGCTTCATCCAACACCGGATTTGCACTTTGTCCAGAATTTTATCTTGCACTACACGTACTTTCCCCCCAATCCAAACATAAAACAATGTTTGGCTCAATGAGATGGCCTAACCAGGTAAATGATGCTATTTTGTTTTGTTTTCTTGTTTCTGTTTTACTTTTCTTCAAACAAATAGATCATAGTTATATTATCAGTGTTCTGAAATTACTAGCAACAAACCTGTGCATTGCACGGAATGAAAAGAATTCATTTTTCGGACATGCATAAAATAGATCTTAGATTTAGTGTCATGTTTAGAATTACTCGCTGCTAAGATGTCTATTTATTTATTCGGTTTTTGGAACTGTTGTTATCTAGATATATTCTCAGATGTTGACAGTGTATTGGGTTGTCTTTGATATTTGTTTCCCTAGTCTGTTTGTTTTTTGTATCTCCAAAGTTATATGTCTATGTTTTGAAAATTCAAAAATCTAATTCATTGTTCATGTACAATTTTGAAAGAGGTACGACCTTAATGTATTTATAAAATACTTTAATGCAGATAAAAAGAATATAAAATTTTGAAAGCAATACAACCTGCATTCAGAAAATATTGTAATACAGATAGGTAGAATTTAGGAAATGTAAAAAAAAATCTTGCTTATTTGGTTGTGTTTTCATCTTCTGTTTAGCAAATTATTTTTATTTGTTTCTTGTTTCTGCAACTATAGGTTATAAGGTAAAATCGTGTTTCTATGATTCGAAGATGTAGAAATTTAATTTATTTTTCATATCAATATTTTGAAAAAGTTATGATCTAGAAGTATTTGAAAAATCTTGTTACATTTTCAATGGAGAGAACCTAGAAAATTAAGAAAAACAAAGAGAATATTATGACATGTATTTGAAAAGAAATAGAATCAAAAGAACCAAATTAGGATATATAATAAAAGAATCAAATTCGGATTTACCTTTAAACTACAAATATGGCATTAGGACTTCATAGAGCACATGTGCAAAATTCTTGTTCCACATACATCATATAGTTATTAGGAGAAATCTCTAAAGAGAGTTGAAGAAGTGACTCAATTTTACAAAAAACTACTTTGTCAGGCCTCGAATCCCATGACCTGTGACTCTGAATAAGTTAGAAGGATAAAGGTGAGCCGAAGGTTAAATAGGTCAAAGAAGCACGGAATAGTCTCCAAAGGGGTTTACAAGTGCAAGAGTCATAGGAAGAAAAGTTAGGGTGCCTTGAACGAACAATTCACCGCTCAAGCTGTGAAAGTGAACTCACCAGCATCTCTGAGCAGACATATAGATATATAGAGATGAAGAAAACCGCTTAAGTGAACAAAGGACTGCTTGAGTGTTGAAAGCAAACTCTCCGTACTTGTGCTCAAGAAACAGAAACTGAGATGTCGCATTGATCACTCGATCGACCAATTGACAACCGCTCGAGCGGTCTCAAATTGGCTCACCCAAACAGCTGGGCAACCTTCTTCGTTATCTTGTCTGAAATGCAACAACGGGTCAAACCGACCCACAGTTAACATAACAACATGCATTCTCAAAGCATAAATCAAATGAGAATATAGTTCTTCTATCAGAAAATCTAAGCAAATGGATTTGGAAGAAAATTAAGAAATCAAGAAGAAAGACTAACATTTTATAATATGCAGATCTCTGTACCCTTTCAAGCCTCAATCACGGGTCGTCTCCACTCGAAAACTCTTCGAACAAAAACTAGCGGATCTTCGTGAAGTGCACAGATCTAAACCAATTGAAGTGAATTCATCAAATCCATTTGTTTTGAAGGCGTGTTCTGGGCAAGATTCTTTGCGATTGGTCCAAATGATTCATATCCATGTTGAGAAATATGGGTTTGGTTCTGATATATTTGTGCACAATTCGTTGACTGATAGCTGCTTGAAACGTGGTTTGATGGGAATTCAAGCAGTGAGGAAGTTGTTTATGGTGATGGTGGAATGAGATCTTGTTTCTTGGAATTCAATGGTTGGTGCGTTGGTGAAAGCGGGCGAATTAGCCGAGATGAAGGAGGGAGGCAAGCCAAATGAATGGATTGAAGTGAAAAAGAAAAAAGGCAAGGACGTCATTGATGCTCCTATGGTTAACTTTATTCCTACACCTCCTCCTCTTCATCGAATGTGCTTGATATTCTCAATACTTGTGTAGTCAATGAGGAGGTTTCTTTTTGTGCAGATCTTAAGAGTGTGCTTAATGCAAATGAAGATATTCCGAATGTAGAGGCTTCAAAGGAAGAGAAAGAAATTGTTGGGGATGTGGGTAATATAAATGGGTTAGCCCCTAAACGATCTTCACGTCCCAAAGGAGCTCCTCAATCCCTTTCAGATGGAACATTCGTTGTTCCATGGACAAACCCATCTTCAAAAGTGGAAGACAAGAAAAAGCTTCTTGAGAGAATCGCCAATCTTAAACTTGCTCAAGAGGTTAGCCTCTCTATCAAGTTTAAGAAATCAAGTTGCAAGACTCCTACGAAATTGCAGGTGTGTCCGTTGATTATTGCTTGGCTTAGCTTTGGTTTCTCCTTGTATGTTAATCTACTTGTTAGATTTTGTGTAGAAGCTAGGCTTGTTTTTCCCCTCCTCGAAGGGTGTGTTGCCTCTGGGCTTGTAATGAGCCTCACTGTAATATCTATTTTTTGGTATATAATTTATGACTTTACCTACTCAAAAAGCAAAACGAAAAAAGAAAGCGGGCGAATTGAGATAAACTTGTCAACTGTTTGATGAAATGGCAGAGAGAGATACCATGAGTTGGAATACAATATTAGATGGGTATGTGAAGGCAGGAGAGATGGATTCATCATTTTAATTGTTTCAGAATATGCCAGAGAGGAATGCTGTGTCTTGGTCGACGATGGTTTCTGGATATTGCAAAGCTGGGGATATGGTGATGGCACGGATGTTGTTTGATAAGATGTCGGTCAAGAATTTGTTTTCGTGGACTAAAATAATGTCTGGGTATGCTGAAAAGGGGCTTGAAAACGATGCGATTGGCTTGTATAACAAAATGGAGGCGGCAGGATTGAAACTTGATGATAGGACTATTGTTAGTATTTTAGCTGCTTGTGCAGAGTCTGGCTTGCCTGGATTGGGGAAGAGAGTTCAGTTCTCAATGGAGAGGAGTAGATATAACACAAGTGTATTACTCATGTGTCCAATGCTTTGGTTTACATGTATGCAAAATGTGGCAACTTTAACAGGGCATTAAGTGTCATTAATGGGATGACAGATTTCTTGGAATGCCATAATCCAAGGGTCAGCTGTGCATAATGCATGGACATGAGGAGAAAGCGCTTCAGCTTTTCTCTAGAATGAAACAAGAAGGATATGCGCCTGGTAAGGTGACCTTTGTTTGGTGTTTTATATACTTGTATGCATGCAGGTTTTGTTGAGGAGAGCATTCATTACTTTCGTACAATATAGAGAGATTATGGAATAGTTCCCCAATTGAGCGTTATGGTTCCATGATTGACCTTTTCGGTCTAGTTGGGCGTCTTATGGAAGTTTTTAGGCTTCTCCAGAGCATGCCATTGGAACCGAAATTGAAATGTCACATTGATCACTTGATTGACCAATTGGCAACCGCTTGAGCGAGCGGTCTCAGATAGTAGGCATAACCAAACAGCTGGGCAACTTCTCCCTGTCTGAAATGCACCAACTGGTCAAGCCATATGTACGTAACTTGACTCAACAAAATTCATTTACTCAACAACATGCATTCTCAAAGCATAAATCAAGTATAGTTCTTCTATCAGCAAAAACAATATGTACATAACTCGTTATGAAATTGTGTTAGTCCTCGGTCCAACATTTCAAAAAAAAAAAAAAAAAATGGAAAATTACAAAATAAAACTACTCTAGTAATCCAGTCCTCTTAACAAGTGATCATTACAGCCCCCTTCCTATAGCAAAGGAGGCTTGCATTGCTCGAGTCTCAACATCATTCAGAAAGGCGTATACTGCATTAACCAAATAATAGAGAACCCATTAGGTTTATAAGCATAATCTCATCTAACATAAAATCAAAACTGTAAAAACCATCAATCAAAAAATAAAATTTTGTAAAACTGCAAGAACAAACAATATTTACAAGATACAGAGTAATCAATCAACACAAAAAGAGAGAGAGGTTACATGATTATACCTGCTAGTTTATTGTTCTGAATGGATGTTGAGCAGGGTTACTTTATAATACTAAACACATTAGAAACATTGAAAAATAGTACTACAATGAATTGCACATCTTATGGAACCATGGGGTGAAGACGATAAATGTCAGAATACTCGCCAGCAATAAGATTGCAAAAGAGTCTGGAACTAAAATGTCTTCATCCACCAACACACGAACATAACCAAAGTGGGATTTAGCTTCAAAAACTAACATTTAAGAATGGTGAAAAAAAAATGTTAGGAAGCATATTACAGTAAATTAATATTTTGGTTGCTAATCAATATATAAGTGGTGCATACAGTACATCAATCGTCATTTATCAAAAAAAAAAAAAAAAAAAAATTAGTGTTAAGCTTCCTAGAGTCCCTAACATTTTGAGTATCATACGTACAAGATTAAGTGTGCAAACAACCTTTTGGAAAAAACAAATTTATTTCAGTGAGCTGTGAGCCGGGGCAGCTCCAAGGCTTGGTCAGGGGTGTCACCCGAACTCCCTGGCTGAATTTATTTATTTATTTATTATATAAATATTAGATTTTAGGAAAAAAATTAGTAATTGAACCCACTAAAATATAATTTTAAACCCATAGTTTTAAGTCCTACTCTTTTGAACCCACCAATTTTGAACCCATATTAGATATTAGCATGTCTTTTTGCTTAAATAATAGTATCAATATATTGAAATATTTTTGTTTATAATTTTAGAATTTAAATTAATTTATTGATTTTTTTCTCCATAGGTGATATAATGATTAATGTGAATTTTCTGTAAGATATATGGTATTTAAGTTTTTCATTGACACCACTGACAAAAATTCCTAGAGTCGCCACTGGCTGTGAGTACAAGTTTTAATCTCATTTTTACGTAAAAACTGAGATTAAAAAATGGCCTACAGTCTAATTATACAGGAGTCAAGGCAAAAAATTTATACTATCTTGGTTGAATTAATAAACTTACGATCTAGTTTTTTCGGAAATGATTCGTAGCTCGAATATTTCGAGCTCGAATGGCTCGAAAGTACAAATATACCACATTCAACAAATTGACTCTCACCTCTCTCTCACTCTCGCTTCATCGGTCTCGCCTCTCTCGCCTCATCCCTCTGATTCACTCACTCTCGCCTCATCCCTCTCACCTCTCTCGCCTCATCCCTCTCATTCTCTCATGCCTTTGTTTTCTCAGCAACCAAACAAAGGCATAACAATACTCAACAAACAACCAAATTAACTACCAGATCAAGCACAAAAAATAAACAATTTATCGAACCTTGTACGCCAGAATGGTAGACTCCGAGGCCGACCCAGTAAGCATAGCCATTGATGGGAGTGAGATCGTAAACATTCAAGTACACAGGAACCTTTCCTGTCCTCCTCTTCCTGGGTATCATTCTGCACAACATTCTTCCTTCAAAAAATCCAAAAATCAAAACTTTTCCCTCAAATTTTCCCGAAATCCAAACAGAGAGTAATATATGCAGAAGCCTGTATAGATATATACAAATTCCTCGGGTTTTTTAGGTTGGGAAATTCGAGAAAATGAGAGGAATTTCAGGTGCGAAAGGGGATTTTTGGGGTTCGAATTTTGTTTAGTTTTTTTGGGAAATCGCTTTTTTGATTCGTTAAAAAAATTGGGTATACTATTTTTATATGCAAAATTGAACCCCACCACCATCGCTTACCTTGGAAGAAAGGATCTTTATGACAGTAACTCCATCATTTCTCTCTCTCTCTCTCTCTCTCTCTCTCATCAAAACAATTGTGGGTGTATCCCGCGCAGAGTAGCACATTTATCAATTCGAGCCACTCTCGAGCCATCGCCTTTCGAGCTACGTAGTGGAGTTGTAATTGTTTTTATCACGTTGTTTTAAAAATCGAGATTTTTGGATTGCTTGTGTGATCTTTAATCATTGTTGTAGTCTTGTTGAGTTCAAACAACTGTGTTTAGCCACTACACATAATAGGAATCACAAAGAACACACAACATGCACTTATATAGTACAATGCATACACAAAACTATACATAAATATAGACAGAAGCACACCAGCCAAAATCCTAAAAGCAACAAAGCACAATAGTTTGGAAAGACGTTTCTAAACAACACTCGAAAGCTGGCATAGAAATGAGTGAGTGTACATCTAAATAAATACTAATTTGTGCTTGGGAAATTTTTTTCATTCATATTGTCCATGTCATTAGTTTCTTCTCATTGTGCCCTCACCTACTTTGCTTTTCTGCAGACGCCCGACCGAGGAGGTGTGGTCGTGACAACTGGGTCGTTTGGCCACCATGTGGCTTCAAATTTATTTTCTCCTCCGACTCTTTGTTCTTCGTCCTACTGCTTTGTTCATTATCCTCAAACTGCATACAATGTGCAATCTTCATCTAAGTTGCACACAAGTATGAAAAAATTGAAGTTGCTAATTAACTAGGTTGATGAAGTCACTACTGAGTTAAGTGTCCACCTATAGATTGTGATGGAATCTGATAGAGTATCAAAACCTCTCACTTTAATTATTGATTGATCAGTTGTATAAATACACAAGGAAATAACTAGAAATCCTACAACCTAGGAAGTTGTTACAAACTGAAACTACACTATATCTATGGAAGACAACTAAGTACATTTGAGTAATACAATCTGCTAAGAAAGAATAAGTCAAATAAAGCAGTTAAGAACTACTGATTTTGTGCTATTATGCCCCCGCAAGATGGAGTGCGGGAGAGTAATCCAATCTTGTGCTGGAGTTGAAGAAAACGGTGGTGGGGAAGAGGCTTGGTAAGTGCATCAGCAAGTTGATCTTCAGAAGAGACATGAGTGACACGGAGAGCACCAGTTTGAACCTAATCCCGGATAAAATGAAAATCGATTGCAACATGCTTCATGCGGGAATGAAAAAGCGGATTAGAACAGAGTTGAGTTGCCCCAACATTATCACAGTAAATGACAGGGCAGCAGGGTAGCGAAATGCCTAGATCAGTCAAGAAAGAACAAATGAATTTAAGTTCAGCAGCTGTATTGGTAACTGAACAATACTCTGCCTCAGTGGAGGATCTAGCAACAGTGCGTTGTTTTTTAGAGCTCCAGGAGATTGGATTTTTACCAAGATAAACAACATAAGCACCTGTGGAGCAAAATGTGTCCTTGTCCCCAGCCCAATCAGCATCAGAGAAGGCTTGTAGGCTAAGAGAAGAGTTGGAGAAAGCATGTAAATTGTGAGGGTAGTCATTGTAGATTTGTAAGCCATCATCAATGGTGCCAACCAGATAACACAGGAGGAGTTTGACAAAAGACCAATGCGCAGTGGTTGGGCAGTGCATATATTGAGACAGTTTGTTCACAACGAAGGCGATGTCTGGTCGGGTTATTAGCAAATATTGGAGGCTCCCGACGACCTGGCGATACTCAGTTGGATCAGATAGAGAAGAGCCCGAGGTTAACATGAGAGAAGGAATGGTTGGCATAGGAGTGAGAACAGGTTTGGCGTCTTGCATCTTGGTTTGAGTTAGGAGATCCTGAATATAACGCCTCTGTGAGAGTAACAAACCATGGTTCTTTGGGACAACTTCAACACCCAGAAAGTAAGTCAGTAGCTCAAGATCTTTGAGGGAAAATTGCTGATCAAGAATATCAATGAATTGATTGACTTTGGTAATATTGTTGCCTGTGAGAATTAAATCATCAACATAAACAAGGAGATACATGGTGTGGCCATCAGCATGAAAGACAAAGAGAAAGGTATCCGCATATGAATTCTGAAAACCAAATTGTAGGAGAAAGGTGTGGAGCTCATGGTACCACGCCCGGGGGGCTTGTTTTAAGCCATAGATTGCTTTTCGGAGTTTGCAGACATATGAGGGGTTGTCTTTATCAACAAAGCTAGGTGGCTGGGACATGTAGACAGTCTCGGATAGGTGACCTTGAAGAAAGGCATTGTTGACATCAATCTGCCTTAAGGACCAGCCACGACTGATAGCTAGACTGAGAACAATGCGAACAGTTGTTGGTTTGACAACTGGACTAAATGTGTCGTGGTAGTCGATGCCAGGGCGTTGGTGGAAGCCCTTTGCAACCAAGTGGGCCTTGAAACTGTCAGCAGAACCATCAGATTTGTGTTTAGTTCTAAAAATCCATTTACATCCAATTAGATTGTGACTGGTATCCGGAGGAACCAGTTCCCAGGTGCCATTTGTGACTAAAGCATCATACTCTTCAGACATAGCTCGACGCCATTTATGATCTTTGAGAGCTTGGGTCAAGGTGGGTGGTTCAAGATCAGCGCCATTGGTTAATTGGGTGTGAAGATTTAATTTGGTGATGGGTTTGCGAATATTGTTTTTGGCTCGAGTAGTCATGGTGTGGATGGGTTGAGGCGCAGGTGAGTCTAGTGGTGGCGGTGAAAGCATAAGTCCAATATCTGGTGAAATGATCCACGAAAATGACATAATATTTAAACCCATCAGGTGATATAACTGGGGAAGTCCAAACATTAGAAAAAATTGTTTCCAGGGGTTGTGAAGAGACAATTGTGGATTGAGAGAAGGATAATTTGTGGCTTTTATTGCATAAACAAGCATTACATGAAAAATCAGAGGATAAGGAAGAGGAGAGATCGAGTTTATTGTTAGACGCAATCTGTTTTAGAATGGGAAAAGCTGGGTGTCCTAATCGATGATGCCACTCGGATGCAGTTGTTTTGATGCTGGAAAAAGCAAGCAGTGGTGGAGATACCGGCCATTCATAAACGCCATCTTTAGTTTGGCCCTGCAGAAGTGTTGCCCTCATGTGAATGTCCTTGATAGACTATCAAAACCTCTATTTATTGCTCTGATACCATGATAGAGTATCAAAACCTCTCACTTTAATTATTGATTGATTAGTCGTATAAATACACAAGGAAATAACAAGAAATCCTACAACTTAGGAAGTTGTTACAAACTGAAACTATATCTATGGAAGACAACTAAGTACATTTGAATAATACAATCTACTAAGAAAGAATAAGTCAAGCAAAGCAGTTAAGAACTACTGATTTTGTGCTATTAGAATCTTCCTTAAATACAAATTAGGATATAAATTTTCTTAATTCAAAAAAAGTTATTTTTATTGGAGTTTCTAATAATTTCTTATTATCGGATTATAAAACCAGTTAAAAGTATACCTCAAAGTGAGATGGTAGTAGATATGTAGATACTAGTAATTAATGATATCTTGTATGTGACAATTAATTAACTGTACTTTGTTCTTGAAGAGGCTATTTCATGAATTGAGATAAAAGAATGATTAAAATATACAAAGCGAAATAGGTAATACTTAAAACTTGTCCCTTAAATTTGGTATTGCTATAAAGCTATGCTTGACACACACAATTTACTTATTTATCATTAGTTTTGAAGCAGTCAAGTACTTAGAATTTAAAGAATTTTGTGGAAGTATCACATACTCTTAATTTTGTTTTTACAATTATGTGATGATGTGTATATGTTATTTGAAAAAATTCTATGCGTCAGAATTCTTGTACAAGAAATTTTACTAAAATGAAGTAGCGGTTGTATCTTATAATTAAAGTGTACCTTGATGAGTATTTTATTTTAAAATGATGAAATAGTATATACATTTCATGTTGGTATATACTAATACTGAAGAGATTATTAGAGGTAAGCTACTTTGAGGCACCAACGATCCACTACAAGAAATGTCACTTTTGGCTACTAAAAAATTAGTCGCCAAAAGTCCAATATTTAGTCGCTGAAACGATTTAGCGACTAAAATATTTTGTCTCCAAACTCGTCGCCTATACCCTGTCGGCGATAGTATTGGCGACTAAACTTTGTTTGGTCGTCGAAAGTGACTACATTTCGCTACTAAGCTATGTTTAGTCGGCAAATGTTATGTTTCCGCCACTAAAACTTTAGTCGCCGAATGAGGATTTTTGGCTACTAAGTTGTTGTGGTCGGGGAAGGTGTCACCTTTAGCTACTAAATAATTAGTCGCCGAAAGTACACATTTGGCTACGAAACATTATTTAGTCGGCAAAAGGTGCATTCCGTGACTAAAAATTTAGTGGCCAATAATTTCTTTCTCTCATTCTCAATTGTTTTAGCTACTAATTATTTGGTGGCCAAAACTTTTTGGGTTATGTTTTGCTACTAAATTATTAGTCACCAAAACATTTGATTACGTATTTGGGTACCAAAATATTTGGTAGCCAAATGCTTTAATGTGTTTTTTTTTTTTTTTAAATTTTTTTTCTAAACAACCTGTATCCATTATGAATACAACCTGTACCCTGTATAAACAATATAATCCATCAACACTAAATATGTTATCAAGCATTCAACAATGTGCACACATTTTAGCTCCAACCATACAAAACATTAATATTGAACGTCCAATTCTATATATAATACAAATTCCATATGAATCAAGTCTAATCCAACGTCAATAATTTCATTTTATACATAATACAGGACTAACCAAATTAATTAACAAGAAGGACATATGTACCACAACCTAAATTAGCATATATGCTAATTTCTACCATACCAAATTAGCTTATATTTACCACACCAATGGTATTTCTTCATTTGCAGCCTGTTCATAAGGATTCCCATTATCCCAAGTTTCAAGAGCCGCAATATGATCACTGTGCTTCTCAAGCAAATCAACAAACCGCAACATTATTCGTGATCTTTCCTGAAAAAGTTTAGCAACAAAGATTACATTACGTAACTCATATTTCAAAATTGTTTGAAGTTAAAATAAGAATAAAGAAGGAAACAAAGGAAAGAAAGTACAAAGCAAATGATCAATGTGTGATATTCTTACATAACCAGTCATCTTTGGCCATGGTCCTTGGTCGAATGCTTTGCGAGCAGCAAACACTGCTTGGTTGACATCTTCAGCCTCACCTTCAGCAACATGAGCAATCACATCTCCTGTCCTGGGATCCAGGGTTGGAAATTTTTTCCCTATAGTCATACAAATTGCAAAAATTCAGTTTCACTACACATTCTTGAATTGAAGGAACATCAAGATAGAAACTTGAAGGCCTACAATATATTGTAAAAGGTATCATAACTGAAATATCTACTTAGTTTTTTGAATCAAAGGATGATAACACACCTGATGCTGAATCCACGAATTGTCCATTGATGAGAAGTTGGGTATAATCTATTTGAACAGGCGGTGTGATTGGTTCCTCAAATGCAACAGCGGTACTAAACCTATTGATGCCTCTGCCCCAGTTAGAGTACCAACCTGAAATTACAATTTTTTGATCAGTGAGCCATCAATCAATCACATGCCTCATAATACTTACAATTACAGACTATCATAACATATGCATTTTTAAAAGAATGCCACAGTTCAATTTCCTCATACACACGTAACGTAACCTATTATCTATTTGCTAATAAGTCCTTCGAGTCTGAGCAAAAGATCAGAAAGAAACCAATGAATACATATTCTCAGGCAAATTCTAATACTTTACCCTCGTACAGAAAGCTAACTCAACTTTCAGTATGAAAACAAGCATTACAGATACATAAAGAAATGCTACACCAACAAAACATTTGGTTTTCTCTTCTAAACAGAGTTAAGATAATGAATACAGCACATATTGGAGCAAATGTAGATGACAAATCAAGAAAAGAGTGTGGCCACCCGTTGCAAATATTTTTAGTCGTAGGAAATTAGGAGTGAGATTTTTGTAATAAAAAGAAAAGAGTGTTAATGTAATATGTAATGAAAAGAGTTTACCATAGTGAATCCAAAGCACAATTTTGTAGTATATCAACCGACTAAATGTAATATGTGCAAACCACTATATATACAAACCACTATATATACGGATAGACGTATACTAACAATGCCCTTCCGTACCTGTCAACAAAAATCATATCCACATTTGTATGTCCAAAACCATCTGCAAATAAAAAAAATGTGATTAGTTTGGCGCCTAGTTCCACTAAATTAGTTTGATAAAGTGAAACAACTATTACATTGACAAGATAAACAACTATTACATCGATGCTAATTAACCTGATGGCGGCGTCAAAATGGGCGGAGGAAGGTCAATCCCTGGCCTTGATGCCCACCCTTTTCTATTCCTATAGACCTCAACAGCCTTCAAGCGAAGCCTTTCTTGTGAAGGATCTTGGGAACTCTTCAATGCCTTCATGACATGGAAAAGCATATGAGTTGAAATAGAAGACTATTAGTTTGTTAGGTAATATCAAAGGATATTGAATTTTACCTTAGGAATTGCAACCAATTTTGGCGGAGCTTGAATGTCTCCAAATTTGATCTTTTCACATCCAGGAAAGTCCTCATTCTCTTCTGTCTTCGCCTTTTTGTGTTTGTTTTTCATTGCTTCTAAACGCCTACATATAATTAAAGTTAAGTCATCAAAATATTTAAAGGTGAACTGCATTGGAAGAGAATAAGCACCAGAAAATAAGAAAGAAGATAGTGCCATTTGTTACAACTTAACAGTAACTCCAGCATTAAAAACATAAATCCTATTTAACAATACTAATACCCAGTTTCTTGAACCCTTTCAACATCTAGATTCCCACCTAACATCAACAAGTTACCATAACAGTTCATTATCTGTTTTTAAAGATAAAACCTATGATGTTGCAAAAAGTTTCACTAGTCCCCATTTTACAAAAGCTAGAACAGATTTTATATGAATTTCAGTTAAATTATACCATGTACTGGGCCAATGACCAAAATGGTATAAAGTAATATAAAAATAAAAAATCGTCAGTGATTTAAGTATCACACACATCACATGAGTTTTCAAAAGCTTCACAAAAGTCTTTAAGATATAGTCATCAGTGATTTATAAGGATTGCATTGCTTTATGCATATTTTTAAGGACTCTTAACATATTAAGACTCAAACTCCATATGAACTACATAACATGGCTTCATATAAATTTGTAAGGACTCCTAACCTATTAGGACAAAGTCCCTATAAACTAAGAACTTTGACTTTAAAATCCTATTCAATCCAACTAACAACCATACAGCTAACAGTAAGCCTAACTTAAATTATAGCCCATGGCCAACCCTACAATGCATGTCTAGAAGGTATAAACATCTTGAATCGTAAAAATTTGAAGAAACATGTACAGCCAACCAGCAGCGAATGACTTTATAAGACTAGAAGTTAATTATGCAAGGTCCAAGTGTGACCCTCGAAATTGAACCACTTCCATGACTTTCATATTCTTTAAGCTTGTATGATCACTATGTCATATGTTCTGCAAAATTTACAGATGTCAACTGCAATGAATGAAGGGGTAACTATTCATACTAGCAATTGAAGGCTATCTCCAACTCTGAGGCCTGGTAGCATCCTTCAATCCTTCCATGAACTCTAATAACCAACGCTGGTTATTACAAACCACAATAATGGGGAAACCACATGAAAGTACAAACCACAATTTTTCTATGGAAAATATGAATACAAAGTACGTTTAAAAAAAAAAGATCTGATTAGTGGAAAATTTATAAACATTAATAATTAAAGTCTTAAACACTTCCATGAATATGTAATTATTTTGTGAAACTACCACTAAATTGTGATTTCCCCATTTCTCTTTCTTTCATAAAAATGAAATGAGTGTCATCCACAGGTGATCAAATTTCAAGAAACCCACAAAAGAACTGACTGAAGCTATAAAATTAGGGCAAATTTCAGAAGCACTGTAAAGTAACAATTAAGGAAAATTTTAGAAAAAAAGCTAATTACCTTTCAAGAAATTGGACTGTGCAGCGAAGACGACAGGAATGGAGTGAAATTTGTGGGTTTTGAGCTTGCCGAATCAAAAACTGTTTTACAACTTCAAAGTGGTCCTTCAAAAAAATTGATGGAACCCATTAATGGAAAGCTAGAATTAGAGCAAAAAGTGAATGACCCAATAGAGTATTATGCATTAGAAATCATACCTTCTGACTATTTGAAGAACCCATGTGTGTGCGTGTATGTGAAGCTGTATGGGTTTTTGTGAGACAGAAAAACAGAGCCAAGAGGGAGAGAGAGGATCTCAGGTGACGGTGACCAACAAGGAGGTGAATCGGTGCTCCGGTTGCCGGCCAACGCGAGGAGGAGCGACGGTGAGGGAGAAGGAGAAGAAGAAGGACGCTGAAAAGAGAGAGAGAGAGAGAGAGAGAGAGAGAGAGAGAGAGAGAGAGAGAGGTGCTATTAATGGTTCAGGGTTGGGTTGGGTTTGGTTTGGTGAGACCGTGAGTTGTTTTATATAAATGGTTATTGGCGACTATCGATATTGGTCGGTAAAGGTATTTTATAAATCCCTCTAAATATTTGAAAGGTCTCCCTCCAAAACATTTTACTTCTTTGGCGACTAAAATTAAATTTTGTTGCTGAAAACAGACTTTTGGCTACCAAAATTTTGGTCGCCAAAGGAAAAAAATAATTTTTTATTTTACATTTGCCGACTAAAGGTTTTAGTAGCCAAATCTATACTTACGGCGACTAAAATTAATTTTCGTCGCTGAAAATCAATTTTTAAATTTAATTTTTTATTTTACATTTGCCGACTAAAGGTTTTAGTAGCCAAATCTATACCTACGGCGACTAAAATTAATTTTTGTCGCTGAAAATCAACTTTTGGTGACCAAACTTTTGGTCGCCAAAGATAAAATTTAATTTTTTATTTTTCATTTGCCGATTAAAGGTTTTAGTAGCCAAATCTATACCTACAGCGACTAAATTTATTTTTTGTCGCCAATTTCTGTCATTTTTGGCGACTAAATTTCTTTTAGTCGCTAAGTGTGATATTTTTAGTTACTAAATTTTTTTTTAGTCGCCAATTGTAATATGTTTAGCTACTAAATTTTTTTTAGTCGCCAATAATCAATATTCCCCAACTAAAAAAAATTAGTAGCTAAAAATTTGACTTTTCTGACTAATTTTATTTTTGGTAGCCAATTCCGTAACTTTTGGCGATCAAATTTTTTTTAGTCGCCAAAAATGGTCGCCAGTGGCATTTCTTGTAGTGATCCCAGTGCGGGTGGTGCCATGGTCTCCCATGGCGCCGGTGTGCAGGGGCGGAGCCATGTTGGGCTCAGGGGGTCACGTGTCCCTGAGTTTTGGAATTTTTTTATTTTTATTTTTTTTAACATAAAGAAAATATATTAAATAAAAAAATTATAAAAATATTATTTAAAGTGAAAAGTCAATGATATTTTTAAAATTATGAGAACAATAATGATTATTTTGATTGAAAATAAAGAAACTATAATAAGTCATATTATTATTTATAAAAATTTCAATATAATGGTGATGTGTATCATTATTGACATGCAAATATAATTAATTTCAATGAAGATATAGAATTTATTGGATTGTTAGTTACATTTGACATGTGGAGTTTATCCTTTATGTGTTTCTTTCCATTCATAACTAAAATGACACTATATAAATTATAATCAAACAACACATCTTTAATTATAAAAATAAAAAAATAAAAAAATTACAATAGGTCATAACTAATATCAAAATGAGTCATAGCTAACTATTACTTGATATATAGTCATATCTAAAATAACAATCACAAGAAATTATAACTCAATTATATCTAACACTATAATGTGTTATAACTAAAGATCACGAAAATCATAATTGCGACATATGATAGACACTTTTTTTGCAATATGTTTTATAGAATTTCTCTACTAAAATATATCATTTCTGTCTCAACGTATCTTCTTTTTTAATTTTCCAATCCATTTATAAAATAGTTACTCCCCAAAATTTGTATAAAATTTAGGAAAAATTATTTATAAGTCCTATTAAGAAGACTTATGCTACATATGGTCGTACTAAAAAACTTAAGTTTCCATAAGTTCTGTGGGAAGTTTGTTGACACATTTACCCTCAATATTAGTTGTTAATATCATAAATAATAGTAAAACTATATATAGGAAATTATATGTTACCATAGATCATATCTATATAAACGTAACGTAACTTGACACCTACATAAACGTAACGTGACACCTATGATCTATGGCAATAGGAAATTGAATGTTGCCATAGATCATATTTATATGAAACGTAACGTAACACCAACATAAACCAGCAACATTTTCACATTCAATTTAAAAAAATAAAAACGCATTAAGTTTGCGAAACGTAACATGACACCTTACGTTACGTTTATGTAGGTGTCACATTACGTTTATGTAAGTGTCACGTAACGTATAGGTGTCACGTTACGTTTATATAGGTGTCACGTTACGTTATGTTTATGTAGGTGTCACGTTACGTTACGTTTATGTAAGTGTCATGTCACGTTACGTTTATATAGGATCATGTGGAATACATTCATATCTAAATAGGACTTGAGACTCTATAAGAAATTACACAGGACTTAGCCTAGCATAAGTATCTGAAAAATGACTTGTAAATAAGTCTCTCTAAAATTTAATCTCAAATCCTTTAATTTAAAATTCACATTTATCCAAATGAACTCTTAATATTTAAGTTTAGTAATATCTCATTGTTGTTTATTATGAAAAAAAAAAATTAATCAGTGTGTTTGGTTTGAGTTTTTTGGATTAAGTATTTTGAAAATCGAGTTTTTTGATTTTCGTTTTTTTTTTGTTTTTAGTGAATATTTTTAAAATTTTAAATATTTTTTTTTACTTTTTTAGATGTACCTTACTTAGGGCTATTTTGGAAAGATGGTTATAATCAGTTTTTTGGTTAAAAACTGCTTATAAGCAGCTTTTTTGTGAGAGGGGAAGTGAGTTATAATCTGAGAAGTGAATTATAACTCACTTTCCAAAAGGGGCATAGATGTATCTAAAAAGTAAAAAAATTGTGAAAATATATTTTAAAAAATTAATAAATACATAAAAATATAAAAAATGTAATGAATTCTCGTATTTTTTTGTATTTAGTGAATTTTTAAAAGGTTTTTTTCACAATTGTTTTACTTTTTTTAGGTATATATATGTAGGTATGTCTAAAAAGTAAAAAAAAAATGTTTAAAATATTAAAAAAATAGTAAAAACAAAAAAATACGAAAAACAAGAAAGTAAAATTTTTTAAAAAGTATTTTTAAAAAAATAAAATAAAATTATCATTAATTTGTGTCTTTCTACACTGAATTTCTGACTACATCACCGCCGGTGTAGATTACCAGATTCCCAAACTCGTCGGTTTGGCGAGCTTGGCCTTGGCGGTTGTTTCCATAATCTGCCATTTCTTCAAATCACTACTATAATACACACTCCCTTGCTGAAGTATATAGACTAGTAAAAATTAATGCACAAGGATTGGTTGTGGAATTGAAATAAACTGTTTTCTAGGATTCGGTTAACTTTATTTGGTTTAGTTTGGTGTAAACCGTTTTAAGAATTTTATAGAAATTTGTGGAATTCTATATTGAATGTAAATTAATTATTATAAATACCTTTTTATTTATTTATTATAGAATCAAAAATATAAAAATATTTAAATAAACAATGTTTTGATGGGTTCGGTCATTATTGGATGAGTAAATTTTTTCAATACTGGATAGTACGTTATATGAAAAACTAACTGAAAATTAAAATTTTAATTGGTCTCTCCATTTGATAATATCGATTTTCTTACCTTCAGCTCTAATAATCAATGCCATCGCTATCGCAGGGAAGTGAGACTAATATATATATTTTTGTTTGATGTTGTTTTATAGCCTCCGTTTAGGAAGTGGATTGATTTTTTGACTTTTTGATTTTTTTGACTATTTTAGCGTGAGTTAAAAAGTTTGGTTTGAAAAGAATTTTTTGATTTTTTAAATTTTTGAATTTTTTTTGTGAGAAAAGAGTATAATGATTATGGGTTAAATGTGATATTTTATTTTTTGTGACTAAAATAATCTATTTTATCTTTTATAATTAAAATAATCAAAAAAATCTAAAAAAACTCTTTCCAAACGGACCCATAATATACTTAAAATATTATAATCTTATTGCTTTAAAAAAGAGTTTCTTGATGTATATCTAAGATTATTTTATGTACGATAATTAAAGCCTGTTTTTGACGATAGGATTGGGATTTCATGTTTGGATAAGGCAGGCAGGGAAGGGAAGGGAAGGGAAAGGCGGTCACCGACGTGATGGAAGCGCCACGTAGCAGAGCCAATTGACAGCGGAGGATTTGAGTCTTGTGTCAACGTCGCACAAGGACAAGTGTTGTCCTTGGTCCCCCGCCGGTTTCAGATAAGGTTGCTTTTCAGGAGTTGAGATCCACTCCAGTCTCTCATCCGGGCAATGGCCCAGATTGGCCTATATCATTCCATTCAAAATGTGCAGTTGAAATTAGCTTGAAAAAAAAAAAAGAAAAAAAAAAGCAATTAACTCACCGACACACGTCTCAGAACTAGAGTCTTTTGAAAAGTTAAAAAAAAAAGAAAAAAGAAGACAATTTTAACTTTTTATCAATTTTAGATCATGTCATCTCTTACAATTTTTTACTTATAAAAAGACCAAATAAACTCAAAAAATCAAAAAATCAATTTTTTTTATCAATTTCTCAAAACACTATGCAGTCAGAGTATTACACTCACACACTCTCTCTCTCTCTCTCTCTCTCTCTCTCTCTTATTTCTAATAAAAAATTTAAAAAATTATTTTAATCCTTTTCATTTTATTTTTATAAGATATACTTCTTTTGTCCCAAAATTTTAGTCTCTTGTTTCATTTTTTATTATCTCAAAATATTAGTCTCTTTTCAAAAATTAAGGACAAAAATAATATAAATTTTATATTTTGCCTTTCTTTTAAATTCGTTAAAAATATAAAAAGTACAATTATGACAATTGATATTTTTCAAAAAATGTACTATCAAAGGGTAATTTTAAAAAATTAATTTTTTTAAAGTGCAATGGTTGTACTACAAAAAAAAAGTTAAATTTTTTAAAAGGGATTATTATTTTGGGACAGAGAGAGTATATATATAATTTTTAATATATATTTATATTATTTTTATCCTTAATTTTTGAAAATAGACTAATATTTTGGGATAATAAAAAATGAAATAAGACAATAAATTTTGAGACCGAAGAAGTATATCTTATGAAAATAAAATAAAAAGATTAAAATAGTTTTTTTAATTTTTTTATTAAAAATGAGAGAGAGAGAGAGAGTGTGTGTGTGTGAGTGAG